CCCCTGGCGTCGTCGGCCTGTCAACATCGCCGCGCGATCGCACCAATGCCCCCAGCCTGCCCCCCTCCTTCCCCGCAAATCCTGCCCATGATTCCCCCCAGCCCCCGCCCCACAGCACACCGCCCACCAGCAGTGTCATAAGGAACACTATGAAGGAGCGCCGCCCCAGGGCTTTCACAATCCGCGTCGTCGCCAGCTGCCCCACCACCGACCCCGCCAGCCCCAGACCCAGCAGCACGGCCCCGTAGTCATAGGGCACCAGCCCGAAGCCGACGTACACGCAGCAGGCGGCGGCGGAGGTGAAGGCGATCATGGTGGCGCTGGTGGCGGCGGCGACGTCCGCCATCACGCCCAGCTCCAGCATCAGGGGCGCCTTGACCACGCCGCCGCCTTTGGGGGTGGAAGGGAGGGGGGGGGGGGTTCTGTGGGTGAGCAGATGAGGGGGGGCCGCGTTGGGCAGTGAAGCAGAGAGCGGGAGGGTACACAAGGCACAGCCCTGTGTGGCGGCCGCGCCGCCGCGCGCTTGGCCGTGTCCCGCCTGGGACCGAGCAAGCGGCGCGGCGCCCCGCGGCCAAGAGGTGCCGGCTCCGGCCCCCGGCTGTTCCCCCAGCACTGCCCAGTCCCCCCAGCTAGCCCGTTCCTGCTGACCCAGCCCCACATGGCACCTTTACAAAGTACCTCACACAACCCCACACACAGCCTCGCGTACAGCCCCCCGCAAAACCGCCCGAAGCCACTCACACAGGGTCCCATCCCTCAAACGCAACCCATGAAAGCCCCCCACACAGGGCCCCAAGCCGCCGCCCACCCATGGCACCCCACAGACCCTGCCGCGCCCCACTCACCCAGGCCGAAGAGCCCCGCCACCACGCCCGCCAGGCTGCACACCATCGGGTACAGCAGCGTGTTGCGCGGCGTGTAGCGGATGTTGTCGCCCGCGGCCGCGCCCTTTGACAGTATGTCGCGCCTCGTCAGCAGCGTCACGGCCACCGCGGGCGGCACGACAGACAGCACCGTTGCCCAATAGGCCCAGGAGCCGCAGGGCACCGCAGCTTTGGCCAGGTCGCTGCCCGCCACAGCCGCGGTCAGCAGCACGAGCAGCGACAGCGGGCCCGCCGGCAGGAACACAGACTGGCGCGAAGCTGCCGCAGACGCGGGCGCCAGCGGCGGCGGCTCGGCGGCGGCCGGTGGCGGCGGGACGGTCAGCGCGACCGCCGGCGCCCAAGCTGTGGCG